GGGTCAGAGCTGTGCGGGGCAATAGCCTCATTTGCCACGGCCGAATCGACAAGATAGGACCCGGATTTGTCTGCGACGAAAGACGTGAGACGTAAGATGAAGCAACCAGCGAAAGGAGGCATGTACATACCGCTTATGGAGGGATCAAATGCCGCAGCGACAGTCGTGGCAGCACCCTGCGGAATGGTCTTCCACTCGAATTTTTCCGTGTTGGGGAGCCCATCCGGCATAAGGATCCCGAGCGCCTGCAGCTCTGGAACGGCCTCCTTGTTTTGGTTGAGGTTCGTGAATATCACTACATTGATATCGATGTCACATCTCGCGGGCAACGCGACAAATAAAATAAATGTGCAGCGCACGCACCTCCGGGATGCAGGCTGTACGCATGGATCGCGCCCTTCGCGCGCTTCGAGAGCTCGCTTGCGGTGAGGATATTCGCGCACTTGGCCGCGAAGTACGCGCCGAAGTTGGTGTACCCCTCCGCGCTCGGGTGCTCGATCGCGGCGAAGTCGACGCCGGATCCGAATGCGTGCGCGGCGCCGGAGACGAAGACCACGCGCGGAGTGAAGCCCGGCGGTGTCGCAGACGCAGACGCCAGGAGTTTGGGGGTGAGCAGTTTTGTGAGGAGGAAGGGGCCGACGTGGTCCGTGCCCATCTGGCTCTCCAGTCCGTCGACGGTGAGCTTGAAGGACCCGATGGCCGCGGCGGCGTTGTGGATAAGGACCTGGAGAGCAGCGGGGTACAGCGCCGTGCGATACACAAATCAACGCTTACTTACGTGTATCGGCTCGGGGTAGGTGTTGACCTCTGCAGCGGCTTTGCGGACACCGGCGAGGGACGCAAGGTCGAGGGTCAGACGGCGGATGTTGGCTATAGGAACATCCTTCTTGATGCCGTCCTCGGAGAGTTTCAATCTAATTTCAACTTCTCTTCATACCGATGTTCACAACCGACCAACTGAATTGAATACGAACCTTTCCTCGTTATAACCCGTGATTATAACAAGATTTGCGTGTTTTGCGATGGCACGAGCGGTTTCAAAGCCGATTCCGTTCATGGATGTGCCAGTAATCAGGACTATTGCAGTCAAGCGTGTGAGACCCTCCCATTTTTACGGTACATACCATTTTTGCCTTTGATTTCCTGGGAGAATGCAGAGGCCACCTCGTCTGCGGTGGTCTTGGACGAGAACACTGGAGAGGGAGTAGACATAAGTGGAGGTGAACTTTGAAGATGGTGACTGTGTCGGTTCGATGTGGTTTTGTACAGCGTTTAGATGAATGATGTGGGTGATAGACAGCAAGTGATACTCCGCGTCGTCAGACCTGTCCAAGGTTCCCCCTTGTGGAAGTCGAGTCTGGGGTCGGGGAGATTGGTTTTAAAACGAAAGGATGCCGAGGGGCTTTGGAATAATATAGAGAACCATAGAGATCGAGTCGGCGGAGCTAGAGTTGTGGGGCATCAAAGCAATTGTCGAGGCTTATCTTTACGCGGCTCTGTGGTAGGTAGGTGTAGGTAGAATTACAGTTCGATCAAAGTGGTAGCGAGGCTGGCAGGTCTCATCGACAACTCATCGATCTCATCATCAAGGAAGTAGAAATTTAATTGGGGTTGAGGAAGGAAAAAAGGCTAGTAACAGTTTGGCTGATAGACAGCGACTGATGGACTCCCGATCATTAATGAGTTGATTCCGTGCCGTGTAATCCTACCTACCGACCTACCGTGATCTGTGCGAAAATGTACTGGAATAATATCGACTCTCATATTCTTCTGGAGTCTGACTAGTACGGGAGACCAGCGAAAATGCTTCGGCTGGTGGACGACCAACGACAGGCTAATGATGGCCGTGGAACAACACATAATCAGCTGATTCAACTCACTCAACTCATAGAGCACATGAAGGTTGCATCTAATCAGCGCCAACTTTCGAAATTCGCAACGATGCAGTGGGACAGTAGTGGGGAATGTCTGAAGAATGTCGGAGATTCCAAGCTTGAGATCCGCTCCGTGAGATAACGAGATGAAAGAGTTGGTACAGAGGGCCAAGTACTTCAAAGTTGAGTTATGATTCGGGTGGCCCGGGCCGAAGTAGGAGGCCTTGATGTGGTCTTATTTGGCGTCGCCACTTTCACTCTGCATCTTTTCGGCGTGCCCCCAATTCCACCACTCGAGTTCCTGTCGAGGCAACGTGCTTCCTCCATTTCCTCTCGGATTTATATGGAAAATGGCTTCCCGGTCAGCGCCAGTCTTTCCGCCGGAGCTGGAAAGACAGATATTCGAGATCTGCGCTTTTTCGAGACCGGTAACAATCCGACGGCTGATCCTGGTGGCCTGGCGGGTGAAAGAGTGGTGCGTTACATGGGCCACTTTAATATGCATGACCCGTCACTCATTTCGTCTGTATAAAAGGGTGGAGCCACTGCTGTATCGCACGATTGCTGTAACACACTCTCAGCCAATGCAAGATTATCCCATCTTTTCCCCAAAATATCTGCTGTCCGCCATACGGTCGAAGCCAGCCTCGTTCTTCCACGATCATGTCCGGAATCTTCTCTTGCATTCGGCTCCCCATTATGCCATCGCAGGGATCCTCTCCGTCTGCACCGAAGCGGACAATATTTGCATCCCCGATCTCCCCGACAGCATGCTTCCGTGTATCGTGAAATTGAGGCCCAGACATCTGTCTACTAGTCTCGAATCTCTACTGGATCGGCTTCAGCCCTCGCATCTCTTCTTTTCTCGCATAACCCATCTCGAATTGACGGCAGCACCGTATAGGTATCCGATACCTCCAGGGATCTGGTCCAGCCTTTCCCGCTTGCCACATCTGACCCATATCTCCTTCGATGCCGTCTCTTTCCTTGCCATTTGCTCTCTTCTTTTGGAAACATGCAAGTCCCTCAAGGTCCTTGTCTGTCTCAATTTGGGGGCGCTCAAAGAGCTGTATCCTTTATTAGAGCCAGTACTCGCGCAAGATCCCCGGTTCGTTGTGATGCGCCGTGCATACTTCCTCAAGGACTGGCAGATGGGCGTGCACACGGGAATCGATTATTGGACCCGTGCAGAGGCGTTTATCGAGAAACGTTGGACGGGAGAAGTAGACGGTATGCGGTCAATCTAGCCCCATCGACACCATTACTTACGTCTTGTATCCACCAGCCCTTCAATATCAGATTATCGACGACGAAAGCGAAAATATCCCGTAGCATCCATTACGCATTGTCCCATCCAGTATTTTCTTTTTCCTTGAGGCGCAACACAACCTTCTGCTTTTACTGCTCCTCTGGCACAGCAGATTTGTGATAAATTTCCTAAACGAGGAAATAAAAAATCCATTCCTTGTTGTCGTGATCATTGTTGGAATCCGAGCTGATCTTCTCTGACTACATGTTTTTTCTATTCCTTCCCCTCATCTGCTTCTTGCTCAGCTCGTAGCTTCTTTAAGTCTTCCTCCATCTCCGCGATCTCTGCCTTTTTGTGCTCCAATCCTCTGTATGTTCCTGGCGCCGCCAACAGGGGTACATCCACGCCATAGTCGTCCTCGTCTCGCGTTCGCTGGGGGTTGGAGGCGAGCACAGCGTCGAGAGTGGCGCGATGGCGGGGCGCCACGCGCATGATGTTCTTGCGGACGGTGGCTGCATCCAGTTCGGGGCTCCGTTGCGAATAGCGGAGGCAGTAATCGGACATGTCTTCGCCTAGTCCCCCGCGCCGCCAATCACTATTCGGACACACTCCCTCGTTGAGGAAGGCGCAAAACGCCAGTTCTTTCTGCGTGAGAATCGACCGCGCTTTCACCACGGCGCAGATCAGCCTTTTGGTTCGTTTGGACTTGACCTGATGCCTTGACAGATAGTCCTCGATGTCGAAATCCAGCAAGGACCAGACTGGGTCGAATAGTCAGTATACATCTATGGAAAAAATGAAGCTCGTGGTGCTTACTGCAACGGACGTGACCCTGGTACAAGACAGACTGTTCCTCGTTGCTGAGGATGACCCCATGGCTCCCTTGCTCTTCAAAAATCTTGCGGTTAAACGCTGAAGAGAGGGGTGTTATAGCGAGTGTAAACCATATCAGCACGCCACATACCATGAAGGCAGATAGACATAGAATCCAATTCTTCCTTTCTTCGCATGCCGGACAGCCTGAATCGCATATCACGGAGGAGGATATCCGTGAAAATAATCTGGGTCTTGCGAAACGCGCGGCATCTTGCTTCAATCGGAGACATGCGAACTTGGAGATTGGCGATTTGCCCGCCCTCGCTCATCCTTGCAGGAATACCGCCTCAACTGATATCTTGATCCACTGAGCAAGGAACGGAAAATAGGGGTCAAAGAAATGTTCCCATCAGTCACTGTTACTCGTGAGACACGCAACGCGCAACGCGAGCAGAGCGCCTCAAACTACATCTTCAGTCTGAAACTACGAGTCGTCCGAAAAAAATTGAAGGGGAGCAGAATCAGCCTTCAGATTGACGTCCGAATTTTATTTCTTCCTCTGACGTTGGTGGGACTCAGAGGGCATTTTCTTCTCTATACATACTACTATTTTCCAAACTCCCCAACAGACCAGAAGCTTCGTTAGAGCTCTCTTAATATTATGGATTTTTTGAAAGCCCCGAAAGCTATTAACAAAATGAGCGGCGGCATGTTGAACACTCAACTCGGCCATCACGCTACGGGAGTTGCCGGGTTTGTCGAGACCACCGTTACTGGACATTGCGACGTGAAAACAGGGTGAAAGAAGTACTCGACAAGTTACGAGGGCTTTTATACAGTAATCCTCAGTCAAACTTTCCGCTCAGAAATGTGCTTATTAGCGGGGGAAAACACAACCCGTTGGAGAATCGACGGCCGTACCGTCGAGCAGTGTGGAAATTCCTCGATTGAATGGGCACGGCACCCATAGAACCGCCGCGATGGCGGGCAGCCCTAGAACTCAGGGGGGAAAGTACATGTAAAATAAAAGGGAAAGAAAAACATATCTTACTAGATATTTATGACCCAGCCTGGAGTCGAACCAGGGATGTCTGCACAGTATTGACATGTATACTTTAATTGTGCGCAGATAGACACCATGTGCCACTGGGCCTTGTCTGCAAATTTCAGGGGAGGGAAGTTAAGTATGAGATGAGATAGCACATAGCTTGAAACCAAAAATTAAGGACAATTGAAAAAAGAACCAGCATGTCTGACTGCTGTGTTTGTGGGTCCGCAGTGTTCCCTGGGTAATCTGTTAATTCGAGGCACAGAGAGGAACTCGGTGAGCCCCAGGGGGAAAGAGAAAGTAAAAGGAAAAAAAAAAAAAACAGCAGAATTGGCTGATGACCCAGCCTGGAGTTGAACCAGGGATCTCTGCAATGGCACCTTTCTGTCTGTATTGAGAGCAGATGCACACTATGTGCCACTAGGCCTTGCTTGGAAGGTTGAGGGGAGGGTTACGAGAGGAAATACTAGTCCTGAAACCAAAAATTGAGGACAATTGAAGAAAAACTGAGCACGTCCGACTACCTCGGAGTTCAGAGGCAGAGTCTTTCAAAGCATGTTTGTAGATCCAGAGTGTCCTGTTAACTCAAGGCACAGAGGGGAACTCGGTTAGGCTAGGCCCGGGGGAAAAAGTAAAGTAAAGGGAAAAAAATCATGTTCACAACACAAGACCCATACCCAGCCTGGAGTCGAACCAGGGATATCTGCACAGTATTGTGATGTACACTTTAATTGAGGGCAGATGCACACCACATCCCACTGGGTCATGATTGGAAGAGTTCAGGGGAGGGTTAAGTATGGGAGGAGATACATAGTAGATACTGTTGGAATATATTGGTTGGGCCGATGGGGCCAGTGTGAGCAGCACGAAGCTCGCGATCCACTACGGATGGCCTAGACTCACTTACCTAATTATTCCAGGACATTGTCCTTGTTTATTCCCGTGTACACCATCCGTTTGTCTCCGTACGCCCACCATGTACCTGTGGACAAACATATTCCACCTTTGTTGCTGACTTCTTCTCTCGTGTGCTCGTCAATCTATAGCCTCGCTGGGATTATTTCAACAGATACACAACCTGAAACTAAATTTAAAGAAGTCGAGCCTGAAAAGAACAATTGAAGAAAGACTGACTGCCGCGGACTTGGAGTCAGACAGAGTCAGAGTCTTCCAAAGCCATGTTTATGGATCCGGAGTGCTCTTAATTCGAGACATGGAGAGGAACTCTCAGAGAGAAAAGTGCTATACAGCAAAAGGGAAAAACTAGAAACATGGCTAAGGACAATTGAAAAAAGATTGAGCACATCCGACTGCCATGGAGTTCGCGGCGGGAGATGCCGAGCCCCGCCGATGATGCGAGATGTGTGCCGTGCATAGTGTGCCGCGCCTGAGAACTATGTGCCGCAGATGAATGCCTTGTGCCGCACTTCCGGTGTGATGTGTCACTGTGCGCCGCATTTGTTCAATCCCGGGCCGGCGGGAGGGAGGCCCGTGCCGTTGGCGTGCCGTCAAGCAGTGTGGAAATTTATCGTTGGAATGGCATGGTGCCGTTTTGTAGAAGGGCAGCGAAGAGCTCTAGAACTTAGGGAAAAAAGGAAAGTAAAAGGGAAAAAAAAATTTCAATCTGCGCCCATGACCCAGCCTGGAGTCAAACCAGAGACATCTGCATAATTAGAAAACCAATACCTTCACTGAGGGCAGATGCACACCATGTGCCACTGGGTCTTGCTTGCAAAGTTCAGAGGAGGGTTAAGTATGAGAGGAGATAGCACATAGCCTGAAACCAAAAATTGAGTGAGTGTGTCCGACTGCCACGGACTCGGAGTCAGGCAGATTCAGAGTCTCCAAAGAGCATCTTTGTGGATCCGGAGTTCTGTTAACTCGGGGCATGGAGAGGAACTCTCAGAGGGAAAAGTGCTTTACAGTAAAAGGAAAAGGGAAAAAAGAATTTTCATGTTCAAAATGACATGACCCAGCCTGGAATCGAACCAGAAATGTCTGCACAAAGTCCCACGGTATGCATTCATTGAGGGCAGATGCACACCAAGTGCCGCTGAGTCTTGCTTGTAAGGCTCAGGGGAGGGTTAAGTATGAGATGAGATAGCACATAGCTTGAAACCAAAAATTGAGATAATTGAAGAAAGACCGAACGCATCCAACTGCCACGGAGTCAGGCAAATTCAATATCTTCCAAAACCATTTTTGATTACTCTGTTAACTCGAGGCACAGCGAACACCTCTAGAACTTGGGGGAAAAAGGAAAGTCAAAGGTAAAAAAAAACACTTTCTCGAAACCCATGACCCAGCCTGGAGTCGAACCAGGGATCTCTGTAAGATGCCCCCATCTTCTGAAGTAAGAGCAGATGCACACCAAGTACCACTGGGTCTTGCTATCAAAGTTGAGGGGAGGATTAAGTGTGAGACCAGTCCACTTGAAGAAGGCCCGTGGTACCTAAATTCCGCATCGATGACTGAAGATGCCAGTGAGTAAAGGCTGCATAAGGTACGTAGTCAGCATCCGAGTCTCCAGTGCCAAGGGATATATTTACCTTGTTGATAATAATAAACCTAGCCTTGTCTAGCATTTTTGAACCCCTGAAGAGCGAAAGAAAAGTCTGCAAGCCCCGGATCAACTCCGGCCATCACGCTCCGGTATTTGCCGAGAACGGCTTACTGGCTAAGTAATTCTCGCATGCGAAGGAGGCTGGTACTTAGAACAGGAAGGGGAGTTTCTGTGTTGTGATGAGTGGGGAGATATTTCATGGGCAAAGTTGTACATGTGCTTCCCATTGCCAGAAAAATTTGGCGCGTTCGGTGGGCATGATGGCCGTTTTCCATCTTCGACAGGCCGTTGGGAGGCAGACCCCCGTGCCGTCCGGTAGAAGGCCAGCGAACAGCTCTAGAAATTGGGAGGGAAAGGGGAAAAAATGACATCTACAATTATGACAATGATCCAGCCTGGAGTCGAACCAGCACAACTGTAAAGAAAACTATTTTTTGAGGGCAGATGCACACCATATACACTGGGTCTTGCCTGAAAAAGTTTTAGGGAAAAATATGAGACCAGGAGCCTGAGAGAGTCCACACTGAAAGAACAATCGAAAAAAGACGGAGCATGTTCAACTGCTGCGGAGTCAGTCGGAGTCTTCCGCATCCAAAACCATGTTTGTTTTGTGGAGTGCTCCAGTTTTGCCAGTGACATGGGGGTGCCATTGAGCCTTTTTCTCAACATTTTAAACACGTGAAAGCTAATGAATGAGCATCGGTGCAAAGAGCACAAGCGGATCAAATTCGGCCATCACACTCCGGTATTTGCCGAGAACGGCTTACCTGCCAAGTAATTCTCGCATGCGAAGGAGGCTGGAAGAACAGGGAAGAGTTTCTGTGGGGGAGATGTCTGGAGACATTTTGTGGCCTAAATTATACATGTGCATCCTGAACCCTGGTGTTGGAAAAATTCAACACGTTTGGCGGCCATGATGGCCGTCGGGAGGTAAACCCGTGCCGTCGAGCAGTGTGGCAATTTCTCGACAGAACGGGTGTGGCACCCATCGCACCATCGCATGGAGAACAGATCTAGTTAGAGGGGAAAGTACTATACAGTAAAAGGCGAAAAATCAGTTTTCCAGTCATCTATGACCCAGCCTGGAGTCGAACCAGAAATGTCTGCACAAAGTCCCACGGTACACATTCATTGAGGGCAGATGTACACCAAGTGCCGCTGGGTCTTGCTCATAAGGGTTCAGGGGAGTGTTATGAGAGATACACAGCCTGAAACCAAAGACAAGGACGATTGAAAAAAGACGAGCGCACCCGACTTCTGCGGAGTCAAGCAGATTCATAGTCTTCCAAAACCATGTTTGTGGATCCTGAGTTCTGTTAACTCGGGGCATGGAGAGGAACTCGGTTAGGGGAAAAAGTATACAAAGGCAAGTAAAAGGAAAAAAAAATGCTGTCCAATATGACGACCCAGCCTGGAGTCGAACCAGAGACATCTGCATAATTAGATAACCAATACCTTCATTGAGGGCAGATGCACACCATATGCCACTGGGTCTTGCTTGCAAAGTTCAGGGGAGGGTTAAGTATGAGACCAGGAGATAGCACATAGCTTGGAACCAAAGACGAGGACAATTGAAAAAGATAGAGCGCCTCCAGCTGTCGCGGATTCAGAGTCTCCAAAACCATGTTTGTAGATTCGGAGTGCTCTGTTAATTCGAGATACGGAGAGAGGAACTCGGTTAGACCTGGGGGAAAAGTACTATACAGTAAAAGGGAAAAAAATAATTCAACTTTGCCCACCACATGTGGCCCAGCCTGGAGTCAAACTAGGGATGTCTGCACAATTAATTGAAGGCTGGTAGTTTATTGAGGGCAGATGCATACCATGTGCCACTAGGTGTTGCTTGGAAGAGTTCAGGGGAGGGTTAAATATGAGAGGAGATAGAGAGCTCTAGAACTTGGGGGAAAATGTAAAGTAAAAGTATAAAAAACACTACATCATTTTAACAATATGACCCAGCCTGGAGTCGAACCAGGGATGTCTGCACACACAGCTTCGCACCATGGTGATTAAGGGCAGATGCACACCATGTGCCACTGAGTCTTGCCTGTAAAGGTTTGGGGAGGGCTAAGTATGAGATGAGATAGCACATTAGGAGCCTGGAACCAAAAATTGAGGATGATTGAAAAAAAAAAAAAGACTGACTGCCGCGGAGTTCTGAGGCAGAGTCTCCCAAAACCATGTTTGTAGATTCGGAGTGCTCTTAACTCGAGAAATGGAGAGGAACTCGGTTGGGGGTAAAAACTGAAGGCAAGTAAAAGGGAAAAAAAAATGCTGTCCAATATGACGACCCAGCCTGGAGTCGAACCAGGGACATCTGCACAAAAGTTCATAGAGCAGTTCCATTGAGGGCAGATGCATGCCATGTGTCTTGTGTGGACGAGTTCAGGGGAGGGTTATGAGACATAGTTTGAAACCAAAAATTGAGGACAATTGAAGAAAGACTGAGCGCACCCGACTGCCACGGAGTCAGTCCCGGCCAGAGTCTTCCAAAAAAGAAATTACAAGGAAAAAAAAAGACAATTCATCAAGAAGAATGACC